AAAAACACCGTCCCCACTGTCAAATATGGAGGTGGAAACATTATGCTTTGGGGGTGTTTTTCTGCCAAGGGGACAGGACAATTGCACCGCATCAAAGGGAGGATGGATGGGGCCGTGTACCGTCAAATCTTGGGTGAGAACCTCCTTCCCTCAGTCAGGGCATTGAAAATGGGTCGTGGTTGGGTATTCCAGCATGACAATGATCCAAAACACACGGCCAAGGCAACAAAGGATTGGCTCAAGAAGAAGCATATTAAGGTCATGGAGTGGCCTAGTCAGTCTCCAGACCTTAATCCCATAGAAAATCTGTGGAGGGAGCTGAAGGTTCGAGTTGCCAAACATCAGCCACGAAACATTAATGACTTGGAGAAGATCTGCAAAGAGGAGTGGGTCAAAATCCCCCCTGAGATGTGTGCAAACCTTGTGGCCAACTACAAGAAACGTCTGACCTCTATGATTGCCAACAAAGGTTTTGCCACCAAGTACTAAAGCACGTTTTGCAAAGGGACCAAATACTTATTTCATTCAGGAAAATGCAAATTACTTTATAACTTTTTTGTAATGCATTTTCTGGATTTTTTTTGTTATTGTTGGGTCTCTCACTGTTCAAATAAACCTACCATTGAAATTGTAGACTGATCATTTCTTTGTTAGTGGGCAAACTTACAAAATCAGCTGGGGTTCAAATAATTTTTTCCCTGACTGTATATGCCATTTGTACTATCCGACTCAAATGCACTTACTCCATTGCATAACTGTATTCTAGATATTAAGAAATGGCCTTATCTGCCGAAAAGGGACATGGTTTAACTTGTTGTTCTATACTATTTTATTTTGCTGAAACTTTTTATTGCTAGGATTTTATAAACCTGTTTTTGGATTGATATTTATAGTATTTTTTTAGATGATACATATGTTCCACTGTGCAGCACTTTATGCTCTTCGGAGTTGTAAAGAGGTATATAAATAAAGTTTATTATTATTATTATTAATGTAACATAAGGAGAGATAGTCCAGAGAGCAGTTTGCATGTGGCAGTCTTCTGCTGGCTCTTGATGCCTAGAATTAAAGTCTGATGTTTTAATTATTTTTATTGCTAGGATTTTATAAACCTGTTTTTGGATTGATATTTATAGTATTTTTTTAGATGATACATATGTTCCACTGTGCAGCACTTTATGCTCTTCGGAGTTGTAAAGAGGTATATAAATAAAGTTTATTATTATTATTATTAATGTAACATAAGGAGAGATAGTCCAGAGAGCAGTTTGCATGTGGCAGTCTTCTGCTGGCTCTTGATGCCTAGAATTAAAGTCTGATGTTTTAATTATGAATAAAACATCACTTCCAAAATGTCTGCTTTGGCCTTGTGTTTACTTAATCTGTTCATTAAATTTGAATATGCAGCGCACATAGGCCACATCAATAATTAAAACAGTTTGAAAGTCCCCATGGCATGCTCATTTTGCTCCTTTCCAGCCATTTAACAGCTACTGCTTCCAGTGTTGCATTGAAAGTGAACAGCACAATGAACTGCAACGGCATTAATTAATTTGAATTCCTCATCCATAGATATGTACCGATGAAAAGAGATGTGTAACACTCTAAACAAAGCGGGTAATTGAGAAACCCCATATTTTAACTACAGACATAACTTCTCCAGCCTTACAACAGTTAATGTTACAGAAACAAGGCATTAACGGACATGCAACGTGTTTTTTGTTTGTTTGTTTGTTTTTTAACTTATCAAATAGCTCCAAGGTCGGTAAATCCAACCAGTGGTCACTGCATCTCCCCCCACAGGACCACATACTGTCCCAAAGTTGTGAAATTAATTCCTACAGCGCCAACAGTAACATCATGGGTTGTTAATCTGCTTGTAAACCAGCAACACATCACATACACACTGGCCTCAAGCAGTCAAAACAAACAGGTACTGTGCTATGGGGGAATCCAGCATTGATGAGCTGATCATTCACTGCTTGCGGGGGCTTCACAGGCCGGCTGTTTGTCGGTTAGACTTGGTCAGGTAAAATGGCGAGTCCCAGTACAGGGAACATTCCTGGACATGCACTAGCCTCAGGCCCTGTATTTTTTTTCCTACATTCTCTGGTCACAGTGCAGCAGCAGGAGGGAAAATATATCCACAAACTGGGCGTAGTAAACATCCCATTTCATTTCATGGGCATCAGCATGCTCTCCTAACTATTATTCTAACTATTGTTATACCCAGTTGCCGTCCCTGGTAGGCTAGTGGTTGAGGCGCAGCGCTCTCACCGCTGCGGCCCGAGTTCAAGTCAGGGTTGCGTCAGGAAGGGCATCTGGCGTAAAACACGTGCCAAATGTCAACATACAAGTTGTCAGTGTGACAATTTGCTGTGGCGACCTCTAAATGGGAAAAGCCAAAAGTGACTTTCATTGAAAATATACATAAATAACCAGGCAATATAGCATTTTGCCAATATGGTGGGGACACTGGTGGAAGGCAAGCTCACATGAACGCGCAATTGCCTGGCTTTTATGACCATTCAAGGAAATCCATAAGCTATCACGTAATACTTTATTTTGTTAGAAATAAAGTCTTGTGTGAGTTTGTGAGACTTGTATAAACAGAGTTGTTTCTGCATAGAAGTACTAGAACATGTGGTACACCTCATTTTTTGAGATTTAGGTCACATCTAGGATGATAATTCACCATTGTAACATTGTAGATAAGTCAGAAAACAAGGAAAAGTGCCATTGGCCCTTTAAGACAAAAGATCACTGTACTTAATAAATTGTTAACCAATTTTTGATTGTCAGTGTTACTTAAAGAATCCGCTTATCTGCTATAAATTCTGTGAGCATTGCCTAGCAACCGAGTTTGACAGATGTGGGATTTTTTTTTTTTTATTCTCTCCCACATGCCAGCTAAATTGTGGCATTGGCTAACTGGAATGTGTCACTTAAGTTGCCCCCATCGGTGTGAGTTGGCACCGCAGGTGGCTGCCTTGGTTCTGTACCAGAAACAAATTCCCTGTGTTTGTAACATACTTGTTGTTGTTAAGTTATTATCCTTAACTTAAGCCACCTTTTTTTATGCTATATAGGCCAAGCTGGCTAAAAACTATGGTATGACCCGGATGGACCCATACTGTAGAATCCGACTGGGCTATGCAGTCTATGAGACACCAACTGCTCACAACGGAGCCAAGAACCCGCGATGGAACAAGGTTATCCAGTGCACTGTGCCTCCTGGAGTGGACTCCTTCTATCTGGAGATTTTTGATGAGGTAAGGAGATGGAGGTGCCTTCAGAGGCGATCCAAATGTAGATGATCTGAACTGCTAAATAAACTCAGTTTGCAGCTTTTATATACACCTAGGTAAATCTAATGCTACCTAATACAATCGTTCTGTTATATGAACGCAATAATGTTCTGTTTTTCAGAGGTGTTAATTCAGCTGTTTTATCATTTTTGCTGAGCCCAGAAGTCATCTGCCTGTTTTACTGTTCTCAAAGAAGTCACATTGCACTTTAGAAATAATGTGTTCAGCTTTTTGGGTTGATAAGTTGTATTGGTGAAGGAGTTTGATTGGGAGGTAAGTCCAGCTGCATTAACACTATCAGATTTGTCAGTTGTTTGAGGTATTTGTTTCTTTCTTTTCTTACTGTTACAAGTATGAAATACTTAATTTGACCTCTGTAAGTTTGCCTAATGCGTCCTACACAGTTAAAGGCGACACCTCTAAAAGTTTGATTGATTCTATTAAAAAGGGTCAACAAATTTAAATTTTGATATATTGTCCCATTTGTCATCTATACCGCTTATTCCTTAATAGGGTCACAGGGGGCTGGAGCCAATCCTAGCTGATATTGGGTGAGAGGCGGGGTCCACCATGCACCGGTCGCCAGTCTATCACAGGGATGACATATAAACAACCAACCACACACAGTCTCGCTTGCTCCTATGGGCAATTTATGGTTCTACTCCGAGCCCCTTTTGGATATCCAAATTCCTCACCCTATCTCTAAGGCTAAGTCTGGCCACCCTACTAAGAAAACTCATTTCAGCCGCTTGTATTCGCAATCTTATCTTTTTGGTCACTACTCACAGCTCATGACCATAGGTGAGGGTTGGAGCATAGCTCCTTTTTCACTATGACGGTCTGGTACAACATCTGCATTACTGCGGATGCTGCCCCTATCCGCCTGTCAATCTCACACTCTATTTTACTCTCACTCATGAACAAGACCCCAAGATAATTAAACTTCTTTACTTGGTGCAGCAACTCACTCCCAACCCAGAGGGAGCAGTTCACTGTTTTCCGGCAGAGCACCATAGCCTCAGACTATCTGAGAGACCTGGAGCAGGTGGCAAAAGGAGAGTGATCCAAAATTCCAGTAGAGAGGTGGAAGAAACTCACTGATGGTTACAGGAAGTGAGTGATTTCAATTTTGTCCAAAGTGTGGGCTGCCAAAGATTAAGTTGAGGGCGTCAGTAGATCTGTCCAGTCCATGTTTGGAGTTCTCTGTGGAATGGATCAGATTTGGTTTCTTCCTGCTATCTGTGTTGTTCCAATGCACACAAAAGGAATAAACATGAGAATAGCAAAGAATATGTGATTGCAACAATTTTCTGGGAGAAGTGGTGTGTTATCTGACAAAAATGCAGGGGTGCCAAAGCATAATACAATTAGCTTTATCACAGTAATATTTGAACATATGACGTTAGCTACCACACTGCCGTTACCCTAGGTTTTATAGCTTTTTGACATTGTTGACTAACATTCACCTTAACTGTGAAGTTTGTCAGTTATCCTTTATAACACAGGATCAGCCTGTTTATAAATAAAATGCTCTCTGCCATATTCAGTCAATACAGGGTCTGATTTGACTGTTTCTGACTCAGTCTACATGAACAGTAAAGGTAAGAAAATGCTGTGGCTGAAAAACTCAGAAAAGAAGTGAAAAAAAAAAAGGTTCCGGGTTCGGGTCCCACCTGGGACCTTTCTGTGTGGAGTTTGCATGTTCTCCCCGTGCTTGCGTGGGTTCTCTCCGGGTACTCCGGCTTCCTCCCACAGTCCAAAGACATGCAGCTTAGGTTGATTGGTGTCTCTAAATTGCCCATAGGAGTGCATGTGCGTGTGTCTGGTTGTTCGTCTATGTGTTAGCCCTGCGATGGATTGGCAACCTGTACAGGGTGTACCCCGCCTTCGCCCAATTGCCAGCCAGGATTGGCTCCGGTCCCCCCATGACCCCGTTCAGGGACTAAGCGGTAGAAAATGAATGAATGAAGGAGAATGAATGAATGAATGAATGAATAGCTGTGCATCTAACAGGGAGATACTGTGGTCAAGCCAGCCCCCACAGTGTACAAAACACACAGGGGATCCTAGAGAAACACTTTGGGAAAAGGTACAGTCCAAAACTTTGACAAATAATAGACAAAGAGGGAATTACTGGCTACACGTGCATGTATATGTACAGTAGAGATGTCCTGATCCGGTAAAGCTACAAAATTTGTCCCATGTCTCCGTTTGCCATAAAAGGCAGTCTGAGAAGGTTTTAACCATTTCTGCCCAAAATAAGCTCTAAAATTGCCTGATCAGTATAGACCAAGTGCTTGATGAAGATGACTGTATAGTATCTCAAGACAGCATGATGTGAAGCCACATCAGCCACAGTGCTGTACTGGATGTACACCGTATCTGTGAAAAGCTGCATGTAAGCTGAGTGCCACATACAAACATTATACAGAAATGTACCATGCTGCAGCACAACAGAGTGTGACACTTTGAATGGCTATCATTGTATGGTAATCTAATCTATATTTTCTGCTCTGTATTTTTTTTATCTTTCTGCTGATGTACCAACCAGAGAGCATTTTCCATGGACGACAGAATAGCATGGACTCATGTGACCATCCCTGAAGGCCTAAGGGAAGGCAGTGTGGTGGACGAGTGGTTCAGCCTCAGTGGCAGGCAGGGTGATGACAAGGAGGGCATGATCAACCTGGTGATGTCTTTTTCTGTAAGTACAAGTCAAACATCTACACCCATCAAACAGGATGTGCGAGTTTTAGACACTTTACACATTTTGATTAGTATCCATTACACAATACCATCAGCGAGGTGTCTTATTAGTCCCAAATCCATTCTCCAGCATGACAACCAGTGTGTGAATGTTGTTGTGCTTTTTGGGTTTTCTCTCAGTAATGGGTAGGTGGGGGTTCTGTGTTTTTTAGGTTGTGTGCTCCATCTGCATACAATATTTACTAGTGATGCACCATTTTTGGCTCCGATACTGATTCGATTCCTTTAATATTAAGTATTTGCTGGTACCGAATCCAATACTTATATTTACCTGCAGTAATTGTTTGAATCAGGGTTGCATCAGGAAGGGCATCCGGCATAAAACATGTGCCAAATGTCAACATGCGAGTCGTCAGTGTGACAATTTGCTGTGGCGACCCCTAAACGGGAAAAGCCGAAAGTGACTTTCTTTCAATTGTTCGTTAAGTATTTGACATATTGAAATAGAAACTAATCTGGCACATTTTATTTTTCAGGAGATTCTTAATACAAATACTGGATAAGGTCCAAAATATTACGTTTATTATCTTAAATTATTGATATAAATAAAAGAATAACTGGGAGGTGGACACCCTCAGAACTACAGATTCATTACAAGGCAGATATCCTTACTACTTAGTGTCCATATGTGAGCACACAGTTTGTCTAACCAGTCTAGTTTAGATAGGCTGTCCCTGTTTAACAATTAAATATTGTTGTATTAATAAAAGGCAGCAACGGTTTTTTGTAATTTTTTTTGGTCAAAAAAGCCATATTATTTTGACCATGACTTGAATTATAAAATCAATAAAATACTTTTTATGAGCCTCTGTATAGGTACAGTGCCTGCCACTACCATCGGCTCCTGCAGGATAAAAGGCTTTCCAGATACCACAGGTATGCTAATATAAAAATAATTGCCACCAGTACCATTCTTTATTTAAACAAAGAATACATTTAAACTGAATACATTGTTATTAATCCCCATCCAGCGGTAGGTGTATTAGACTTCGGCACGTCTGCCCCCTCATTCTCTAACGCTGTAAAAAAAATTTGGTAGTAATATTTGATGCGAATTTCAACTTTGATAGACAGATTAAGTCAGTGGTAAAAACTAGCTTCTACCAGTTAAGATTGCTAGCTAAGGTAAAGCCATTCCTGTCTCGTACTGACTTAGAGAAAGCCATCCATGCCTTTGTGACCTCCCGGCTTGACTATTGTAATGCCCTCTATGCCGGTTTGTCCCAGTCATCTTTGTCTAGGCTTCAACTGGTCCAAAACATGGCCGCCCGTTTGCTTACAAACACTCATCGGCATGCCCACATTGCCCCAGTTTTGTTGTCTCTCCATTGGCTGCCCGAAAAATGGAGAGTGGAGTTCAAGATCTTGCTCTATGTTTTTAAAGCCATACACGGCCTTGCCCCTTTGTACTTATCGGACCTCCTGTCCAGATATGTCCCTCGCAGAACTCTACGGTCGTCAGGTCACCTCGCCCTCGTTGTTCCTCCTGCACACTATAAGAAATGGGGAGGTCGCACTTTTGCCGTGTATGGCCCTAGATTGTGGAACTCCTTACCCTTAGATATACGCTCTATAACTGAGCCAGTAGCCTTCAAGTCAGCTCTAAAAACGTATCTTTTCAAACAAGCTTTTAATGTTTAGCTTGTTTATTGGTCTTGTATGACCATTATCTTTGAGTCCCTTTTTGTGATAATAGGCCGGGTAGAAAGTGTGCTATATGAGTGATTTTTAAGAAATCTTCAATGAAGAAATACAGTATATGACAGGAAAAATAGTCTTTTATTTGATTGAAAGTCACATAAGGCAAAACAATGCAGATGCATTTTGAAATGTTTTAACTAATCATCTTTTAGTGAATGTCACTTCAGTTGTGCTTTCTGAGTATGAATTATCATATGCAGTAAAACACAACAATATACACTGTAAAAGGTTTTGCCACAAACCCGACTCACTGGCTTCTTTCCTGTAGGATTTCAGTCCCTAGAAATATGCTTGAACTATGCATGAGCTTCTAACTCATAATTGAAGCTGTGTGTGACCTTCTATACTATTTTCACCCTCACTGTATAGCACCAGACAGTGACATCATCCGGTAAAGGTGGTGTGTTGACCAATCACATACGGGGGATGAGTGGGGCCTGGGTGCCCATGGGAAAAAGACTCTCTTGTTTACCTTGTTATTATCATGCGCATTCATTGTAATTCATTGTTGAATTTGGGCCACAGTTAACACACCATAACAACAAGCCATGCATTTTTGTTAGTACTGATGTTAAACTGTTTTTATTTACTTCTGCAGACAGTGCTAAAGTAGAGTAGGCTACGTTAGCTACATAGCTAACCAAAATACAACAGAAACTCATGGGCTGGAAACATGAATGAAGCCACTCATGTTGACTCATCACAAGGTGGCCATATCACTCCCACTTCAACCCCTCACCCCCCGATCAACGCAGCCCCATGCATTAAAACACAGCAGGGAGTTGCCTTTTTGCCAGACTAATGTGAATGTATCGTCACACTCCATCATACCGGCCTGTCATGTACAGTGCCTTGCGAAAGTATTCGGCCCCCTTGAACTTTGCGACCTTTTGCCACATTTCAGGCTTTAAACATAAAGATATAAAACTGTAATTTTTTGTGAAGAATCAACAACAAGTGGGACACAATCATGAAGTGGAACGAAATTTATTGGATATTTCAAACTTTTTTAACAAATAAAAAACTGAAAAATTGGGCGTGCAAAATTATTCAGCCTCTTTACTTTCAGTGCAGCAAACTCTCTCCAGAAGTTCAGTGAGGATCTCTGAATGATCCAATGTTGACCTAAATGACTAATGATGATAAATAGAATCCACCTGTGTGTAATCAAGTCTCCGTATAAATGCACCTGCACTGCGATAGTCTCAGAGGTCCGTTTAAAGCGCAGGGAGCATCATGAAGAACAAGGAACACACCAGGCAGGTCCGAGATATTGTTGTGGAGAAGTTTAAAGGCGGAACTGGATACAAAAAAATTTCCAAGCTTTAAACATCCCAAGGAGCACCGGGCAAGCGATAATATTGAAATGGAAGGAGTATCAGACCACTGCAAATATACCAAGACCTGGCCGTCCCTCTAAACCTTCAGCTCATACAAGGAGAAGACTGATCAGAGAGGCAGCCAAGAGGCCCATGATCACGCTGGATGAACTGCAGAGATCTACAGCTGAGGTGGGAGACTCTGTCCATAGGACAACAATCAGTCGTATACTGCACAAATCTGGCCTTTATGGAAGAGTGGCAAGAAGAAAGCCATTTCTTAAAGATATCCATAAAAAGTGTCGTTTAAAGTTTGCCACAAGCCACCTGGGAGACACACCAAACATGTGGAAGAAGGTGCTCTGGTCAGATGAAACCAAAATCGAACTTTTTGGCAACAATGCAAAACGTTATGTTTGGCGTAAAAGCAACACAGCTCATCACCTTGAACACACCATCCCCACTGTCAAACATGGTGGTGGCAGCATCATGGTTTGGGGCTGCTTTTCTTCAGCAGGGACAGGGAAGATGGTTAAAATTGATGGGAAGATGGATGGAGCCAAATACAGGACCATTCTGGATGGAAACCTGATGGAGTCTGCAAAAGACCTGAGACTGGGATGGAGATTTGTCTTCCAACAAGACAATGATCCAAAACATAAAGCAAAATCTACAATGGAATGGTTCACAAATAAACATATCCAGGTGTTAGAATGGCCAAGTCAAAGTCCAGACCTGAATCCAATTGAGAATCTGTGGAAAGAACTGAAAACTGCTGTTCACAAACGCTCTCTATCCAACCTCACTGAGCTCGAGCTGTTTTGCAAGGCGGAATGGGCAAAAATTTCAGTCTCTTGATGTGCAAAACTGATAGAGACATACCCCAAGTGACTTACAGCTGTAATCGCAGCAAAAGGTGGCGCTACAAAGTATTAACTTAAGGGGGCTGAATAATTTTGCACGGCCAATTTTTCAGTTTTTTATTTGTTAGAAAAGTTTGAAATATCCAATAAATTTTGTTCCACTTCATGATTGTGTCCCACTTGTTGTTGATTCTTCACAAAAAATTACAGTTTTATATCTTTATGTTTGAAGCCTGAAATGTGGCAAAAGGTCGCAAAGTTCAAGGGGGCCGAATACTTTCGCAAGGCACTGTAATGATATCTCAAGACAGCTTTTGCTTCAAAGACCACATTTTAATCTCGTCACACCCCTACTAAGGATTGTTTCTATATTCTTCTTTGCCCTAATTATATCAATGCACCTATCAATGTAAACATCCTACATCCTTCTCCATCCTCTTTCTTTTGCAGTATGTTTACATGGTACTGGCTATTGATTGTTCTATAAGAAATGTGCTGCAAATAATCTGAAAGGGACATTACCAGCCCAGTGTCATCATTTTATAGAAGGAAGAGGTCAAATTTTCATACTTATTTAACCCTTGTTCCTTTTATACGCAGTCATGATACCCAGACCTTTTACCTGTTAAGCTGCTAATTTTGAAATCTTCAAGAGTAGTGTTGATGGAATATTCTATAAACCTTTTAGTCTTATTTAGTCTCTGTCCCAACATTGTTTTGAGTGTGATGCGGGCATCAAACTCTAAATTTAGTTATATTTATAAAGTGCAGTTCTGTTGGTCAGTGAAAACATTGAAAACCTTTTCTTTGTACTTTTGTTAAATAAATGTTCAAGCAAATTAAAAAAGTCATAGATTTTGGTTTTTAATGCACTTTTCTGGAAATTGGGTTTATATTAGGAGTTGGATATTATCTCGTGAAGTCCAAGCAGTGAAGCTGTTAATCTTGTCCCTGTATCTGTCTTCATCTCAGTCCTTACCAGCGGGGATGATGACTCAGCCTGTTGTCCTAATGCCCTCTGTGTATCAGCAAGGAGTAGGATATGTGCCCATTGCAGGTCAGACACGCACACATATACACACATATTTACACACATGCACACATGCATGTTTGTTTTTATTCCTTGTGAGGACTTTACATGGACTTTCATTCTCTGTAGACTTGCCCTATAAGTAACCTTAACCATAACCACTATGTGCCTAACCATAACACCTATCCTTAAACCAAGTTGTCAGTCTACAATTCAGCAATTTACATGGTGGGAACCAGCATCAGGTCCCCATAAGAAGTGTGTGTGTGTGCGTGCGCGCGTGTGCGTGTGCGTGTGTGCGTGTGTGTGTGACCTGGTTTTGGTCCTCACAGTATGATTAAGACCAGGTGCGCACACACACACCAGTACACATCCTGTTCTTCTGTTCACCACCCATCTGGTAGTAACTGCTAATTACTAAGTTGTCTTCTCTCACTCTGAAGTAGCTTTTGTCAGGTTTGAGAAAATAACCCTTATGGTGTCATAGTGATATCATCAGAGAGAGATATACAGTTCAGCACCTGTCAAACTGACGTGTGAACTTGGAGATTTATGGCCCATGATGCCATCACTTTTCACACTTTGCTTCCACCCTCTCCACCCCGCCAACCACCCTCTTTTCCAAAGGTTTATTGTTTTGTTACATCTGCCTTCCTTTTCACACTTAGATGTTACTTTCACTTTGACAGAAAGTTTTTGACCTGTGATTTACAATGGGGGAAATCACATGACCGCTGTGTTTAATCTAACCCCCACAAGGGGGTTAGAAGCACGAGAAGTGAAGACAGGAGAGGACTGTTTAAAATCAACAGAAAGATTACTGAGAGTCTGATCACAGGAAAGTCTTTACAGCACCGGATTCAGAGAGACAGAGCTCCTGCAGGAAAACTGCTAAAAATAAATGTGTTTAAAAAGTAACCCCCTGAATCATGTTTTACAATGCATTTTATCTTCTTGGGCTGCTCCGCCCTCGACAGAGGTACAACATTCAACAGCTTTTTGATCCCATTGTCCATTTGGTGTGAACTGGAGCTCCCCCTTGTTAGAATGTGGTAAAGTCTAGGTATGTGTGTGTGTGTCTCTCAGGTGGCAGCTTGGTTTTAATCAAGCGCACAGAACAATGGGTCATCTGGGTTGCCGGCCCCCTGTGTGTGTGATGCTAATATGTATGCTAGACTGGCCAAGTGGTCATCTCAGGTTGTGAGCCCCCCTGTGTTTGTAAGACACCCCCTGGTGAGGGAGAACTTGGGATATGCTATTTTAGTCTAGGTGTGGGTGTGAAATGGGCTAGCAGTGCTTTGTTAAAATGTAAATAGGCCATCTGGTTGCCTGGGGAATGCAGACATTCAGAAGTTACAGAAAGTAGGCAGATTCTACCTCATTACAATTGTAAGGTATATAAGCAAGGAAAATAAATGTGTTAAAAAGTAACCAAAGCTCAGTAGTTCTGGACAATCATCAATACAGCTGTAATATGTATAAACAGGGAAAATAAAGTTATTGTTGGACCCCTGTTCTTTTCACCACGTTAACTCTGAGAGACGAAGCAGTCCGAGTAACTTCAAAACAGTGCTGATTTATTCAATGATCGCAGGTAAAATTAACATTACACGCTCAGGAGTCTTTGCACCTCCAACATGCACACAGGCAGCCGGAAGATGAAAAAGCCCCGAACCACAACAGTGTGACGCCAAACTGTGACGTCTGAAAGATATTACCCAGTTCTTTCAACCAGGAACTCTGAGAGACGAAGCGGACCACTTGGATATATAAAAAATATAACCGTGCTGGTTTATTCAAAGGATCACAGGCAAAATTAACATCTTCCACCTCCAGTACTGCGTGCAGGCAGCCCGGAAGATGAAAAAGCCCCGAACCTAATAGCCTATACAATTTAATCACTTGGTTGGGCTAGCCCCATCCTACACAGGCAACGTCAAACCGTGACGTCACCTGATATGCCAGCTTGGCAGCTGACCAGAGCAGTAGTCAAAACATGGAGAAAATTAAAGTGTGTGGCTGTTGATTAGTGGTGTGTATCTAAAAACATACAGGACATTCAGGGACATGTCCGAACAGTAAGCCTCGGAAGATATTATGATTAAGATTACGGCTGAACATATCATGCTACTAACAATATTCATCCTGCCTGCAGACTCTTCAATCTAGTGACCTTG